TCCCAGTAAAACATATTTGTGTTTGCATAGTGTAGTATCCCATAGTAGAAACCGAAATTCATTTACATACAATGAAAGTGTCTGGCCATAAATAAACGCCGACTCCAGACATTTCTCTTTAAAGATATATATATATATATATATATATATTTAGACAGTATATCTTTATTCAAGCATGCTTGGTTGAATAATCTAGACATATTATGTTTATTTTTATTTTAATCCTTTCAAATTCACGGATCAATTCTTTAGAGTTGTTATTAAAATGCTTAAGAAAGACGCCATAGCTTCCTGTCGTTCCAACTATTTTCCCAAGTACTTTCAATCTCATCCGTGATCATCTTCAGGGGTGAATTGCTAAGATAAGACATTAATGTAATTGATAGTTGGAGATTCTTTTTTGTAAATGCGCATAAAACGCACCACCATATAGTCAATTTAAAATTCACATTTCATGTGCATTTACACACACACACACACACACACACACACACACACACACACACATATATATATATATATATATATATATATATATATTTTATATATTTTTTTATTTTTATAGATATAGATTCAATATTTTAAAAATACTCTGTTTATAATGAACGGTAAACAACATTTAAATGGTTTTAATGTCATAGATAATATGCGTCCTCTGACAGGAATCGAACCTGTATCCTATAGGGAACCGTCATGTAGCCTGACGGGTCTTAAACGTTTCGGTTAGCAAGGTTGATTTTACTGTTACTTGCTAACCGAACGCTCCTCTGTGGCCGAAACGGTTAAGGCACGCCACGCTATATGACGGTTCCTTATAGGATACAGGTTCGATTCCTGTTGGAGGACGCATATTTTCTATGACAATTTCTCGGACATTCAGGCCGGTAAATGTTATTAATGCTGTTTATTATAAACAGAGCATTTACTTAAATATTTATATCTATAAAAAGAATGTATAAAAATGTCTTAAAATAATTGCCGGACTTTGTCCATTTCATAATGAGTGTCGTCATTTGTTTACATTTGGATAGGCTTTGAGCAAATATGAAGGTACGTGAGAGATTCATGGAAGATTGTAGTTTAAAAACCAGTAAAATCGACCTTGCTAATCGAACGATCCTCTGTGGCTCAATCGATTAAGGCACGTCAGGCTATATGACTGTTCCGTATAAGATACTGGTTCGATTCATGTCTGAGGACGCATATTATCTATTTCTCGGACATTAAGGCCGGTAAATGTTTAATACTGTTCATTATAAACAGAGTATTTACTTAAATATTTGTATCTATAAAAAGAACGTATAAAAATAAAAAAAATGTCTTAAATAATTGTTGGACTTTGTGCATTTCATAATACGGGCCTCGGGTGATTTGGCATCAGTCATAGACTCTACCACTAATCTATCTCTCTCTCTCTCCCCCCTTTTCTGTATCCCCCCTCTATCTTCCCCCCCTCTCTGTGTATGTATATATATATATATATGCTCTCTGTCTCTCTCTCACTATATATATATATATATATATATATATATATATATATATATATATATATATATATATATACGCACGGTGAACACCTGGCTTCTTTAATATTTCCCCTTTTCTCGCAAGATTAATGCTCGACAAACGTACATATAAGTTTTAGATCAAAATAAAATTCTTTTCGTTTTCATTCAAAAATACTAAATTTTAGGAATATTTTTCACAACATCGCCCACGTGACGACGACGTGATCATATTTAAACGGAACGCTGATCTTATAAAAGATTTCAGTTATCTGTTTGGATTGGTTTTGCTTTTATGTCCATCGTCTTTTTCATGTTGAATTGTATATGGTCTACGTTAATTATGTTTTATGAATATGTCCTGAAGATGGTCTACTAGACCGAAACGTCCGACGTTGACATTAAACATTTAAACAGCATAATCGCATATTAGGATTTTTGTTTGTTTTTTCCGTATATTTTTCTTCATACTGTCGGATCTATATCCATATATTTGCTTACTTATATATATATATATATATATATATATATATATATATATATATATATATATATATATATATAATGAATGCCCTGAGAAATTAAAAAAACGTAGTACTAACAACATCAAGTATACAGGGACGTACGTTAAACTGTCTTTAACAAAATATAAATGCTTAATGCTTCTTCTCCAAATTATAGGCAATATATTTATGGGCGTTTTATTTTTAATTTTCAGATTAAGTGATGCTTGTTCTCGATATCCGCTTCCCACTTAACACGCCAGCGATTTCCGACCTCATGACATCGATCCTTCGGGATCAATATCGACCACTTTAGGGCCTACTTGATAAACTTAAGCCACAATAGCATTCAACGGTAGAAGAATCGGAAGAGGAAGTGAAAAAAAAAGAAGGAAAAAAAAAACGCCGCTGTAATTCTATCGGCTGCTGTCTCGCCGGCGGCGGTAGTAGCAAATGGCGCTGGGCGAAAATTACCCTTTTTCGATTGGCCCAGTTCCCACGTCGATAGTTCTCATTTCGCAGTAAGGTACCCACACCATCTCGTCCAGAAACACACCGCTCCCCTTTGACGGAAACTTTCGTAGCCGATGAATAAGAGAAAATAATGAGTCGACTATGATTCCCGACCCCCGACTACATCGACCTCAGACCCTCAACTCCCCGTTAGAACCAGCTTCGCCTTGCTTTACCCAAACACACTCTCATCCTGTCCTCGCCTCTCACTTTGGGAGTTGCTCCTGTTACCTCATTTCAGATCTAGCCCTTCTCCCTACCTTACCTGCTTGTCATGTCGGGATGCAAATAAAACCAGCATATTATCAGTGATTTGTTATCTGGGGTCGAGAAGACCTGGGATCATCTAGAATTAACTCCCAGTAACACATCTATTCGCGTTGGCTTCTCGGCTGATCACCACAGATAGTACTTAGTGTAGTATCAGTATAGGAAACCAGGTACTGCAAGAAATTGATGGCCTTGTATCAGAGGAAATTCAGTAACTAAAGAATTCAGGTTTCCCTTTTCTACTGAAAATGTTCCGACGAGCAACATTCCTTTGTTCGACCAATTCAGACAGTTAAAGCTAAAGCCGGCCATTGATATACCGTAAATTTCCACGAATCAGGCACGATCTATAGATATAACGAGACAAGTATAAAATAAAGCTGATGTAATTACAAATGTTGTTTTGCTTACCTTTATCTTTATCAAATCAAAAGGAATAAAATAATATAAAGTATTAACATGAATCTTTATGAAAATGACAATAACGATTTCATTCTTACAACTCATACGAATGAAAACAAAGGTTACGTCTTCTCTAATGAGAAATAAAGATTTTATGGCATTTTAAATGTTTTGTTCCTTAACACTGAAAAAAAACCCCCGTATAATTTAAGTTATTGAAAAATAAATTTTGCATGTTATACTATCTGTTATTATTTAACACTACAATGATGATTTTTAATCAGAAACTAGCAGCATGGCTCGGCATTGCCCGTGCTTGATTAAAAAATCATACGACTCATACAGAAATCGCTATCACTTGACTTAAAATATTTTTGCCCTTCCTTGCCTTTAAAGGAGTGCCCTTTGCCGTGCTGATGTTTCTACATGCCTTACTTCTTGCCTATTTTACACTGCGAATTTTTTCTAAGCTCTATACTAAACATTAAATCTGTTACGAAAAAAGAACTAAACAAAATGAACACAAAACGATCAGCTTTAAAAAAAAAAAGGACTCGTAACTGGAAAAACCGAATGAAAAAAGAATGTTAACAACAAATACTTTGTCACACCCAACACAGTTCTGCGGAATCAGAATCAACGTTGAGTTTAAGCAAGCGAATGAGCCAATTGGAATAAAGTGCCATGCAGATTTAAATTTTTCCCACTTGTGACGAATGCAGCTATCGATTTTTTTTGCATGCTAGTTAACATTCGTGTCAGTCAGCTGTTGGCTCTCACGCTGGCCAATAGAATCTTCCTGTCTATTCGTGGCAGCCAGCTATAGGCTCTAACTCTGGCCAGTAGAAAATGGCCGCAAACTACATGAAAACTGCCGTAGAAGCATGAAAAAATCGATTATTTCCACTATCGATGTGAGTTGAGAAATGCAACGTCGGTCTTGGCCTTCCCGCTAACTTGGAGCATGTGCATGTAAATTTTGGTGCAAATCCGTCGAAAATTGCGGCCGTGCATTCGTTACACACACGCACATCCTGCCTTTTATAGATAGAGATATACATTATATGTTATCTTAAATGTTGTTATTGTACACTACTAATAGAAAAATATGATTAGTGTGGACCCACCTATAGCTCGACAATTCAAGAACGAAAGATTTGATTACGTTACTTGCACTTCATGTATGTTGTTGTTTGGCAAATGATTGTGTAATCGTCTCTTGAATATTGTATTTTAACGTGAGATCAAGAGGTAAAAGTAATTTTATTACATTTATAACCGTCACTCAGTCAGTTATCTGACATGCCTGATATACGCTTAGGTGATCAAGTATCTTTCGATACATGACTGACGAGGCAGATTTTTTCCCGCAGTAGGTTGTCATTTATTTCTGCGGTGGACCAGTTGCGACAGTCTGTTTTATGCTAGATGCAATCGTCAGGCTACCTGACGATTGCGTCTAGCATGAAAACAGCCTGTCGCCTCTAAGTGTTGAATTCTCTGTACACTTATATATATATATATATATATATATATATATATATATATATATATATATTTATTTACTCGAAAATTATAACATAAGTATGTTATAAAGTCACTACAAAAATAGCCATTTTGTTTCAAATACTTCTGGTGTCTTATCAAGAATTAATAGATTTTATTTTTTTAATCCATCATATTTTTATTACTTCAAACGTAATTTTCAGTGGATAACCATATTTAAGCAGACGGAAAATCTCCTTAAATATAATCTTTTATTACAGATTTTTTTATTTTGCTTGCCAGTTTGCACACTCAAGAAAATTTAACCGGAGGGTAAATTTTCTTTATTAAGACAGGTGCACTCGAAAAAAAAACAGAGAGAGAGAGAGAGAGAGAGAGAAAGAGAGAGAAAGAGAAAGAGAAGGGAAAAGAGAAAGACAGGGATAGAGAGGTGGAGGGAGGGGTCAGTTATTCCAAGAGATTGTCCGGTATCACTTTTTACCTAGAAATTATAAGCTTATAAACTTTTCAGTTCTAAGTCTTCCACGTGCAACACAGATAAACATAGCTGGAAAAAATTAACCTTATCGGAATTAATTAAAAAATGCTGATAAGATTTGTTTATATGATGATTTTAGGATATATATATATATATATATGAAATGAAAAAAATTAATGAAAGTTCAATCGACTTATCTTTTCGAGTTTCTTCTTAGTTTAGCAGAAGACACCGCTCATCAAGGTGAGATTATCAGATAAATCTATAGAATGTTTACTAGATATTGTATTTACACTCTTCATAAAACTAATCATAAAGCCAGAACAAGTTTCATATTTCAAATGAGAATTATACTCGAATCTTTTAAAAATGTCACACATTTTAAATATTCAGAAACATTAATATGATTATATTAAAGTTAATTCTAGTACTTTTATGTATTTTGATAGATGTTATTGATCTCTCTCTTTTCTCTCTCTGTATATATATATATATATATATATATATATATATATATATATATATATATATATATATATATATTGTGTTTTGAACAAATAAAAAATATTGAAAAATTAAAATCTTCAGACACACTGTGTTGTATATTAATATTTTTTCATTTTTCTCTCGTTTCGGCCAACATGGCCATCATCAGGAGGAAAAAATTTTCTGCTTGCTAGTAGAAGTGAACTACAGAAATTAATGACTTGATGGAGAAAATGAACTTTTGTCTGTAGTTTTAATTTGTTTTTTTTTTTGTTTGTTTGTTGTTGTTTTTTAACATGAATTGTAGTCATTCCTTGTGTTGGTCAAACAGTCTTTTTAAGTTGTTATTTAAGATAAGAGCTGGATGTATTCATGCTGCTCTGAATTCCCTTGGTCATTTTGACAGTTTTATTGGTTCCTGGAAAGGGCATTTGTTTCTGTTAAATGTGTGTGTTATTTGGTTCTTAGGGAGTGAGTGAGTATGATGTGTGTAAGCGTGTGTATTGCTGTGGGTGTGTGTTATCATTTTGCTCATTAGGGAGTGAGTGAGTATGATATGTGTATGTGTGTTTATTACTATGGGTGTGTGTTATCATTTGGCTCATTATATAATGAGGTAATGAAAAGTCTTTTTAAACAGTATGAATAATCTCAAGGGGATGTAATCCAGAGAGCTCAATGTCAAACCAGAGCAAATATTAATTAAATTTAAATTAAAAAACAGACAACCTTAAGGATCCATTGATTATATTTTATTTCCCCAGGAATGTGTTTTTCCTGGTTCTTCAAATCTCATTTCCAAGCATAAAAATGGTTTTAAAATTACGTATGATTTTTAACCCCTTTTGAGGGGTGGTTTTAAGTTGAAGTAAGTTGATAGAGAGAGGGAGAGGAGGAGTAGCAGGAGAACAGATATGGTCGAAATTAGAAAGAAGGAAGGGAGAGATAGGAATAATTTTAAATCTATTTTTATTAAAATACTTAAGAATAAGGGAGGTAAGTAAGGACCAGCCATTGACCTATTTAATAAGTCACCTCGCAGGAAACGAGATAAGGAGAAAAAGAAGAAAAGATATAAGAAATCAAATGTGGAAGCAGGGGTGGAAGGAAAAATGTGGAAAGAAGAAAAGAAAGAATAAATCATTATATATAAGCATGTTGCAGTCAATTTCATAAAACACAGATTGATATGTAGCGATTGCTATGTTTTCCACGCCCACATTTTATTCGCCTGCGATTGGCTAATAAATCACTACTACTTTTAGATAGAGCAATTTAGCCATCGCAATCGTTTCTTTGAATCCTTCGGTTTTGAGCATGCGTGCTTGTTCTGTTAGTACGAATGTAGTGATTGGTTAATTTTTAACCAATCAGATATTTTAGTGCAAGATTAAGTTTTCCCGCGTTGCCGTGGGAGCCTACCCTTTTTCAATAAAAGAGGCGACTTTTTCACAAGTCGTCAGTAAGATCCAGTAAAATTCACCTCTCCATACAAGTCCACGATCTTGCTCATAACATTTCAAACGCACACACAGACACAGAATTTCGTAATATAAACTTAAAATTCGCTTTGTGACTTAGCCAAGCTCTATCAACCAGGACTCTGTTGATTTCGAACCATTCTATAACACAACACATTTTTGATCAATTGTATCCTTGTGTTATTTGATATTGATTCCTTAACATTTTCTCTCAAAAAGAACTTTCTTCGAACAATCAATTACAAATCAAAATACAATTAAAGGGGAACAACTTCTTTCCCTTAATCTATACATTGAATACAATTTTATTACATGTTTGTTTTTGTATGTTATTTTAATATATACTTGTTGATTCACAGTTTGGAGTTTTTGTTGTTTACTTGAATCCTGTACGTTGAAAGTATAATAATATAAATAGTATTGGTCTATCTACAAACGGACACCTTTACAATTGGTAACACCAATGTTCCAAAAATAAATCTTTCAACAAACAGGCCCTTACAGATCTATATTGCAGTTAACGTTTGACATTAATTTAAAAATGTAAAAATTATCAACAAAATAAAATAGGGTAAAAGGAAAAATAATATCATGTGAATATAAGATAAACAAAAAATATTAATATTATTCATAACAAGTAAGAAGTAAAAAATTAATAACTAAAATTTAAAATTTCATATATATATATATATGTACTTGTATATCCTTGCTTCCATATTAGCAAGGATATACAAGTGATAGGAATTATTAGAGGGATTTGAATAATCATAATTAAATTTAAGTAATTCATTAATTCGCTGGATGGAGCGGCTTAGGGGTAGAAAACGTGACTCGTGGGCACACAATCTTTGGATGAGTTATGCGATAGAATTTGTGAATGAGCGCCGCTATATCGAGTCTGGTTTGTTACCACACCGTCACTGACACATGGTGGTCCAGTGGGCATGACGCTTGCGTCATATCGTAACCGTCCGAGTTCGATTCTCGGTAGTGAGTCATACTGATGAGTCCCAAAATAGGACAAAACGCCCATCTAGTACTTTTTGCATTCTGTTGAGGATTCTTCTAGACTCGATGGATTACTTATTTATAATTATTCAAGTTCTTCTATCTATCTATCTATCTATATATATATATATATATATATATATATATATGGGTAAATAGCAGGACAAACTGGATTCTATAGCCTTGGATGGCAATTGGTCTAGGAGAAGGTCAACTCTGAATTCAAAACGTGCAGAGGTTCGTTTGGGAACCTTGTGGCACGTAGTGCACCAGGTCTCTGTATTCTCTTCAAAAAGTGTGGATGGTTCTGCATAAGACCTTCACCACTATAATCAAATCCCATGTGCTGGTGTTGGGGCTGGGCTGTTGGTTCCTAGGAACGGATCTGTTTGACCCTCATACGTCGAATTCGACAATCGAGTACGAGTATATATATATATATATATATATATATATGATAGCTAGGAATAAGCAACATTTATATGGCATTTTAAAAAGCTAAAAAACAACCAAGCCTTATCAAGTTTATTTCTGAGATTCTATTTCATAGCATGTAATATTTAGCAGGAATTGTGTTTTTGATTTTAGTGCTGACCGTTTTCCGATTTTATCTAGGTCCCAATCCTCATATCACCTCAAGGTTCTAGAGTTCTTGTATATCAGATTCCGTGGGCCTTCCCTCTGTAAACAGAGGGAACGCTTACTGGGTCTGAATGTTAATGGGCTCTAACTTTCTTGAAATTCATTTTTCCCCCAATTCGTTATCATTAATATTAATTAAATTTACACGCTTTTTTTTATATCCCAGAAATAAACTTGGTAAGGCAAACCGAAACCGGTTGTTTTAGCTATTTAAATGCCATATAAATTTTGCTTATTCCTAGCTATCGTTAAATTTTGTACCATAAATCTTATTTAAATATATATATATATATATATATATATATATATATATGGTGTCCATATACCTCAGTATTGTTTATTTATAATATTGATTTTCCATGACTTTTAAACTTAAACTGCATCAATGGAACGGTAAAAACTTCCAGTAATGAAAACCTCCGAATTTATAATGCTAGTACTATATATATATATTATATTATATATATATATATATGTAGTAATTCATCGGCCAAGAATAATCTTCAACAGAATGAAAAAGCACTGGACAGCCGTTTCGACCATTTCGATGCAACGCAAACGTCATACAATGGTGGTGGGGAAAACTTCCAGTTGTAATGTGGCAAAAGGCCGGTCGAAGACGGTTTGAACTCGCGACTCAGTTGTAATTGTTCTACCGAAACAAGCTTGCTAACCATATACCGCCTCGATATAGTAATATATATATATATATATAATGCATAACTAAATATAGCTCAATGAATGCAGGAAGAACTGGAAGGTCGACCCAGCTCAATTCATCGGAAAGCCAGAATAATCTTCAACAATGAATGAAAGAACTGAAAGGTCGACCCAGCTCAATGAATTCAGGAAGAACTTCGACCAGCTCAATGAATTCAGAAGAACTGAAAGGTCGACCCAGCTCAATGAATTCAGGAAGAACTGTCGACCCAGCTCAATGAATTCAGGAAGAACTGTCGACCACGGGCAGGGAAGGCCTGAAAGGTCCGAATTTACAAAAGTGAAGAATAATCATATATAATAATTTTTCAACCAGCAGGAAGAACTTTTTTTTCAGGAAGAACTGAAAGGTCGACCCAGCTCAATAATGCAGGAAGAACTGAAAGGTCGACCCAGCTCAATGAATTCAGGAAGAACTGAAGGTCGACCCAGCTCAATGAATGCAGGAAGAACTGAAAAGGTCGACCCAGCTCAATGAATTCAGGAAGAACTGAAAGGAATTCAGGAAGAACTGGGTCGACCCAGCTCAATGAATTCAGGAAGAACTGAAAGGTCGACCCAGCTCAATGAATTCAGGAAGAACTGAAAGGTCGACCCAGCTCAATGAATTCAGGAAGAACTGAAAGGTCGACCCAGCTCAATGAATGCAGGAAGAACTGAAAGGTCGACCCAGCTCAATGAATTCAGGAAGAACTGAAAGGTCGACCCAGCTCAATGAATTCAGGAAGAACTGAAAGGTCGACCCAGCTCAATGAATGCAGGAAGAACTGAAAGGAAAGTCGACCCAGCTCAATGAATTCAGGAAGAACTGAAAGGTCGACAGCTCAATGAATTCAGGAAGAACTGAAAGGTCGACCCAGCTCAATGAATTCAGGAAGAACTGAAAGGTCGACCCAGCTCAATGAATTGAAAGGTCGACCCAGGAATAATTCAGGAAGAACTGAAAGGTCGACCCAGCTCAATGAATTCAGAAGAACTGAAAGGTCGACCCAGCTCAATTCAGGAAGAACTGAAAGGTCAACCAGGAAGAACTCAATGAATTCCCAGGAAGAACTGAAAGGTCGACCCAGCTCAATGAATGCAGGAAGAACTGAAAGGTCGACCCAGCTCAATGAATTCAGGAAGAACTGAAAAGGTCGACCCAGCTCAATGAATTCAGGAAGCTCAATGAATTCAGAAAGGTCGACCCAGCTCAATGAATGCAGGAAGAACTGAAAGGTCGACCCAGCTCAATGAATTCCTGAAAGCTCAATGAATGCAGGAAGAACTGAAAGGTCGACCCAGCTCAATGAATTCAGGAAGAACTGAAAGGTCGACCCAGCTCAATTCAGAATTCGACCAGCTCAGGAAGAACTGAAAGGTCGACCCAGCTCAATGAATTCAGGAAGAACTGAAAAGGTCGACCCAGCTCAATGAATTCAGGAAGAACTGAAAGGTCGACCCAGCTCAATGAATGCAGGAAGAACTGAAAGGTCGACCCAGCTCAATGAATTCAGGAAGAACTGAAAGGTCGACCCAGGAAGAACTGAAAAGGTCGACCCATCAATGAATTCAGGAAGAACTGAACTGAAAGGAAGAACTGAAAGGTCGACCCAGCTCAATGAATTCAGGAAGGAAGAACTGAAAGGAAGAACTGTCGACCCAGCTCAATGAATGCAGGAATTCGGGAGAACTGAAAGGTCGACCCAGCTCAATGAATTCAGGAAGAACTGAAAGGTCGACCCAGCTCAATGAATTCAGGAAGAACTGAAAGGTCGACCCAGCTCAATGAATGCAGGAAGAACTGAAAGGTCGTCAATGAATTCAGGAAGAACTGAAAGGTCAATGAATTCAGGAAGAACTGAAAGGTCGACCCAGCTCAATGAATTCAGGAAGA